TCAGCCTGGAGAAGAGGAGGCTCAGGGGAGACCTTCTCACCCTCTGCAACTCCCTGCCAGGAGGTTGGAGTCAGGTGGGGGTTGGTCTCTTCTCCCAGGCAACCAGCAGCAGGACAAGAGGGCACAGACTCAAGCTCTGCCAGGGGATATTAGGAAGAGATTAGGTTGGATATTAGGAAGAGATTTTTATGGAGAGCGTGATCAGACATTGGAATGTGCTGCCCAGGGAGGTGGTGGATTCACCATCCCTGGAGGTTTTCAAGCTGAGACTGGATGTGGCACTTAGTGCCATGGTCTAGTAACCACAGTAGGGTTGGACTTGATGATCTTGGATGTGTTTTCCAACCTGGTTGATTCTATGATTCTATTATATTATTTTGCTTTTTGCTTCCTTTAGCAATTTTCCATAATTCCCAGATTTCCATTTGGTTGATTCTATGATTCTATTATATTATTTTGCTTTTTGCTTCCTTTAGCAATTTTCCATAATTCCCAGATTTCCATTAGATTTCATATTAAGTTAAGGGGTTGGAATGGAGCTCAGAGATGATCCAGCCCCAACCCCCTGCCCTGGGCAGGGACACCTCCCACCAGAGCAGGTTGCTCAAGGCTTTCTCCAACCTGGAATGAACATTGCCAGGCTTGGGGCAGCCACAGCCTCCCTGGGCAACCTGTGCCAGTGTCTCACCACCCTCCTAGGGAAAACTTCTGCCTAATATCTATTCCCCCTCTTAATCCCCCTATTTATTTGCTCTGTTTTTCTTAATTCCCCTATTTATTTGTTCTATTTTCCTCCTGCTTCTTTATTTTTACCTTTTATCCCACTGGTCCTTTTTAATAAGGAACCATTCCAAGCTCAGCCTTTTAAACACTACAGCATCACTTCCATCCGATGCTTAAACAACAATCACTATTATCTTCCTGCATCCTTATTTTCGTTTGGCTGAACTGCACGGAGATCAAATCCCACTTGGGAAAACAAAAACCGCTTCTGCTGGATTTATTTAACTCCAACTTGATCCGGAGTTGGGATGTTAAGTAGGGAGTGTCGGAGAGCAACACACTCTTTGGGCTCTCGTCGTGCGGTTAATTCCTCCTTCCTGGGAACAGGTACTGGGCTCAGCCCCTCCCAGGAGTGGGGCGGGAGCGAGGGGCAGGAGCAGCAGGAGCAGGGAGAGAGCTCATATCCACTCGAGTCGCGGCGTTGGAAGGGAAAAAAATTCTCTCCCGCACTCATCCCGCGGCTCCGGGCGCTGCGGCATGGGCAACATCGCGTGTGTCCCGCAGGCTCCGGGAGGGCTCCGCGGCTCCTTCCGAAGGAAACCTTCCCTGAAAAACGAGTAAGTACTCCTTCTGTTCTTTTAGGCTACTTTCCACTGGGATTTTTTACCCGCGGAGCTTTTTTCCCACGGGATGCGCCGTGGGAATCTAGGCTGGAGGTTGAACCCGGCGCGGGGAACGAAGAGTTTATTTTATGTTTTATGCTTGGTGGTTTTGTGGGATGAAACGGGATAAACCCCCTGCAAAGTGCTTGGGATGGAATTCTGTACTGGCAGGGAATCCCAGCCCGCAGGAGAATCGTCAGTCATCTCATTTTGTTGAGATAATTAAACTCAAATGCCTCTCCCGGCAGGGCAAGGTGCACACCACCTGATCCTCCTTGTTGGGCTTGTTTTTAGCACAGTGCTCAGAGTTGTGGTGCCTAGGAAAAAGAAAAAAAAACCAACAAGTTATGCTCTCTGTGCTTCAGAGAGGAAACCCCAAATCCCAACACTTTGCTGTGTGCTTGGAGTTAGTTGGGTTTGTAACCCTCAGGGAGGAACAAGAGAAATCAAACAGAAGTTCTTTAGGGATTTGGGTGCTGAGCTGGCCCAGGCAATGCTCAGGTACCACAGTGATGGGTGGCTGTCCCAAAATAGAGCTTTCCAGGGAATGCAGGGCAGGCTTCCCTGCTTTTCCACTGCCTCTGCTCCCATCAGCACATTCTGCCAGGATCTGTGCACAGCCAGAGCAGATTCCTCCCCATCACAGCCACTGCAGGCTGGAAAAGAGCTCTATTGGGAACCAGGGTGATGATTGCTCATGAACCAGGCTGGAAAAGGGCTCTGTTGGAACCAGGGTGATTCCTCATGAGCCTTCCAGCCCTGTCTGGTCTCAGTGTATGTGCTGCACTGAGGCAAATCCCCTAAACTCTGCGAGTCTGAGAGGTATCTAATCCAGAGGAGACACTAAGCTGTCCCCTTGGTGTCCTGTGATGCCATAAATTAGGAGTAAACCTGTAGGAGTGTGTGGAGCTGCTGTGGGGTTAAAAGAGAGGGGATCAGGTAGAGAATTTAGACCCTGGAGGGCTGACAGGTACCTGTGGTGGAGCAGCCAAGTCCCAAAGCACCTCCTGTCCCCACTGAGGCTCAGCTTCCCACGCTCTCTGTGGAGATAAGCCTGGTTTCTGCTGAACTAAATGCTGCAATCCAAGAGTGCAACTGCTGGGAAGTCCCAGCAAAGCAGTCCCAGTGCTTCTCAACAGCACCAGTAAGTGTGTGGTAACGGTGTGCACACAAGGAGAAGCTGGGAGTGGGAGGAAAGAGAGAGGAAAACCACAAAGGCAGAACTAAAATCTCTTTGTGAGTATCTGTTGGTGTATTTGCACATGTGTATCTCCACTCTAGGGGCTTTGGAATAGGTAGGGTTGGGTTTGGTCTGTGTGTTTTGCAATGAAACATCTGGTCCCTCTGCTGATTTGGACACACAGATGAGCCAACTTGATCATTTGGCTGTGCAAAGACCTGTGAAAAAAGCAAAGAAACACCACCAAGTATAGCACAACCCCCATGTCAATTCTCCCTTTGCTGGGCTGATTAGAAAACCCATGACAAATTGCTTACTTAGTTTTTCTGGCTTCCTTATTTCTGGGCAGAATTCAGCCTGGATCTGCATTTCCATGTATGTTTTGGTTTTGTTTTTTCCTCCCCTCTGTAGACAAAATGGCAAGAAAAAACTGCCCAGCTTTTTTGGTATAGAAGGAGGGCAGGAGGGAGACACCACCACAGACAAAATCCTGCAGTATATTCCAGCAAAGGCAAGTACAAACACATCCAAACCCCCTTCCCACTGCTTCAGGAGTTTATTCCCACCCACCCCAAGGACAGCACTTGAGAAGGGACCATGGGTCTGGATCTGGGGGTAACAGCAGGTCTGTCTCAAGGAGATGGAGCCCAAGGAGAGCACTTAAGAGGGAAGATGGCTCTGGATCTGGGAATAGCAGTAGATCTGTCTCAGGGAGGTGCAGCCCAGGAAGGGATGAGCTTCATGCCCTTCACAGCAGAGTTACCTGCCCCAGGGTCCCCATGCAGGTGTGGAAGGGACCTGGCATCACCCACAATGTGTGATGGGGTGCTGAGAGCCAAGCAGGCAGTTTTGAGGAAGGTATCTCCCACCTCCTTTTGTTTCTGTGCTGCCTATGAAAGAAGGGAAACTCAGAGTGAAGCATTCAAAGGCAGATGATTCATTCCCATGCTGGAATGAGACGCAGCAGGCAGAGTGTTAGCAATCAGCCCTGGGAAGGTAATCAGGAAGGGCAGGTCTGTCCGAGGCACATACCAGCCTTGTAGCCATATGGCCCATTTCCCAGCACTGCTCAGGGAAAGCAGAGGTGAAACCATGAACCCTAAGGTGTTTGGTTGAGCCCTTTGGGTTGGGACAGGAGTGTGGATGGAGCTTTGGGACTGATTGGGCTGTGCAACTCCTCCAGTGCATGGCAAATAGGCTGTGTAGAAGGGGGAGCTGAGGCAGAGACTCCATGCTAGGCAGAGGGAGTTTCAGAGAAGGTATTGCTCCCTGTGGGAATCAGCTGGCATCCAGAAGGGTTGAGCAGCACTCAATGGGACCAGGTCCACCTGGATGCTGCCACCAGGATCCAGGATGCTTTCCCTGGGGAAGAGAGGTGATCTGTCATGTTAGTGGATCCTGGAAAGGGAATCCTGCAAGAGGACACAACAAAGGTCACTGAGAGTGTATTCTTTAGGGAACAGGAGTGTGGGATCTCTCCAAGGAAGAAAGGAGGGTGGAGCAGTGGTTTGGATGTTCCCCTCCCCTGGGGCAGGTGGGATGCAAAATGCTCAGCCACAAGCTCCTTGTGTGGCCTGGAGAAACCTTTGGCTTATTAGACCCTTTCCCACTCCTGAGTTTTCAGGAGAAGCAGCTGCTGCAGGGCCAGGTTAGAGAGCAGCCACAAGCACAGGGCTCTGATGCAATCCCAGGGAAGATATAAGCTAGATATCAGGAAGAGGTTTCTCCTGTGAGGGTGGTGAGACACTGGCACAGGTTGCCCAGGGAGGCTGTGGCTGCCCCAACCCTGGCAATGTTCATTCCAGGTTGGATCAAGCCTTGAGCAACCTGCTCTGGTGGGAGGTGTCCCTGCCCAGGGCAGGGGGTTGGGGCTGGATGATCTCTAAGCTCCATTCCAACCCCTTAACACACTATAATACAGTTCCTGGCCTAACAGTCCTCCCTAAAAACATTTAGGGGGACTTCACTTGTTTCCCTTCCACTCTCCTGCAGGAAGAGCAGCAGATCCCATGAGAAATCTCTGCTGGCTGTCTCAGGAAAGCACAGTGGCAG